TGGCGAAGAGACAGATCGCCGGAAATGAGCGACATGGTTTTCCGTGATCAAGATGATATACAGGGTGTTTCAAATTCGACCCTCACCATTGGGATCTCAGAAAGTGTAAGAGATACGAAGTCGCGTAAATGTAGGCGTATTTATGTAATCAATAAAAATGCCGCTTAGAAAGTTTCGAAATTCAAAATATTTCCGGAGAGAGACGGAAAAAACGAATTTTCCCAAAATCGTTTTAATTTTTTCCTGGCTTTATTTGTAGTGGGATTTCAAAATCAATTGCGCATTAACAGTGCTACTTTTTCTCCTCTACAAGATGGCATGATTAGAATTTCAATATGACGCTCCATTTCTTGTCTTTTAGCATCAACTTTATTTTTTTCTTAAAGACGCCATATTGGATTTTTGCGCAGATGAAAAGTGTTTTTGATTTCGATTTCAAAAATGTATAATGTCATGCAGTGACATTACTAAACCGCAGTTATTTCAAAGAAACAGATGTTCCTAGGTACGCCTTGAAATTATCAGATTTCATTTCTGAACCTCAGAGCCAGACTAGGTTAAGTCCAAATAAGTAGTTTTAAGATAATTGTATTTGAAATATTTTTCTTGCATTGTGCTGTATGCGACTTGACATGAGTTAAAAAGACGTAACTTCCTTATTATTACAGATAGATGGATGCTGCATGTAGCAAATGAAAATTAACATTATTATAATACGCTTAACAGATTGAACTCATTTTTGACAGAAATGGATTTAACCTAGTCTGGCTCTGGGGTGCAGATTTGTTTCATATAGCAGACTAGACCTCAAATTGAACATAGTAACAGAGTCTGCAAGACTGAGAACAAGAGAAATGAAGCAATGAACAGTGTACAGAGAAGAGTCAGGCTTCCCCTACAAAATAACGGACAATATTTTGAACATCTGCTATGATTTATATATATACTAAGTGACATATAAATCCGAATACCCAGTTTAAATGGTTTTATTTTAATAAAATTTTGTATAAGTACTTAATGAAGCATAATAAGTAAATGATAAAAATTTCATAATGATTGCACTGCTTTAAAGCCCTTTGACCTTTAATAATGTGTGGATGCACCCTGATGTGCTACGCATTCTCCAACGCGCCTAGGCATGCTTCTGATCAGGTGGTCAATGTCCTCCTGTGGTATGCCATTCCAGGCAACCACCAACTCCTCTCGAAGTGCTTATAGAGTCTGAGGAGGACGTTGCAAATTGAGCAATCTTCTACCCATCATATCCCACACGTGCTCAATTGGGGATAAGTCGGGAGATCTTGGTGGCCATGGTAACAATGTGACATCATTATGTTGAAAGAAGTCTATTGTGACTCTTGCAACATGTGGTCGGGCATTATCTTGTTGGAAAGTTGGATCTGCCAGGGTGTCAAGATAGGGTAAAAGTTGGGGTTCTAGAACTTCGTGGATATAACGCTGCGCGTTCATGTTACCTCTGATGAAGATTAAAGGTGACCTGGAACCACAAGCTATAGAACCCCAAACCATAACTCCAACAGTGTGATGAACATGTCTTTCAACAAAAAACTGTGGATTCCTCCTTTCACCACGTCGCCTTCTAACCCTGGCACGACCATCGTGCATGCCTAAACAAAATCGAGGCTCGTCTCTAAAGACAATACTGTTCCATTCCTGATCCCAGAGTGACCGTTGTCTGCACCACTCAAGGCGATTACGTCGGTGCCTCGAGTTAAAGGGAGGACCCAGTGTGGCCGGTATGAAAACAAGCCAAAACTTCTCATTCGTCGGTAAACATTTCGCATGCCAATAGGTCTTCCGTGTTCTGCAAACCATTCATTTGCAATGGACCTGGTAGTGGAGAAACGGTCCCTTAAGGCCAATAATCTTAGGCGGCGATCTTCACGGTCTGTTGTTCTACGGCGGCGTCCAGTGCCCCTTGCTCTTTGCGAACGGCCTTCTCGAAGCCATGCCTGACAACACCTAACCACAGTGTCTACACTTCTTTGCACTCTAACTGCAATTGCCCGAAAAGAAAGTCCAGCTTCCCGAAGTCCCACTATACGGCCCCTATCAAACTCGCTAAGTTGACGAAATCGTACAGGTCTCCGTGCTCTAGGCATCGTAACCGATCGTAAAGGATGTCAAGAACCAAAATCCGCCAACGTTGATTCTTTACTGCGGCTGAAATATTCATTTTTAGAGCGTTAGTGAATTAAAAAAAAGCAGTATAAAAACCGGAATGTCCAAGTGATAAGGCTGAAAATTTGTTCACTTGTTATTTACAGTAAGATAAATACATTCACCAACTTTTATTAAAATAAAACCATTTAAACCGGGTGTTCAGATTTATATGTTACTTAGTATATAAACTAGCACTACAGGCCTAGTAGGCCCATGGCTTGATTGGCGATCCTGCGCCATTCTTCTCTATTAATTGCTCTTCTTTCTCAATCACTTATGTTTAATTTCCTCAGGTCATCTTTCACCTCAGTTTTCCACCTCGTTCTAGGTCTGCCTCTCCTTTTCTTTCCTCCTATTGAATGGGTAAGCAGTGTCTTTGGTACTCTATGTTCTGCCATGCTTTGCACGTGTCTCAAGCATCTCAACCTCTGAGCTCTTATGACCGCCGTTATGTTGGGCTCTTTAAACAGTTGTTTCAACTCATCATTTGTTCTTCGGGTCCACGTACCATCATCTAACATTTTGCCACCAAAAATCTTCCTTAACACCTTCCGTTCCCATATCTCCAGCTTTGCATGTTCTGCCTTCGTTATCGTCCATGTTTCACATGCATACGTGACCACTGGCCTTATTAACGTTTTGTAGAGCCTGATTTTAGCTCCCCTGGATACAATTTGGCTTTTCATTAGCCCTTTTAGCGCATATATGGCACGATTTCCAGACATCATTCTTTTTTGATTTACTTCTTCTTATTTATTATTATGGTTATTGCAATTAAATTTTCATTTTGTGTTCAGGCTTCACCATACCTTTTTATTTCCTTTTAATTTTCATCCAACAACAAACTCATGGTCAAGTAAGGAAATACGTCACTGTTTTTAGGACTGAACAGTTCATTTAAATGTTAAAAATTCCAATATAGCGTCCATATGAAAAAACAAAGTTGGTGTTGGAAGTCAAAAGGAGAAATGTCGAAATGAAAATTTGACTACACCGTCTTATAGAAGAGAATAAGTAACAATAACAATATGCAATTTATTTTGAAATCCTATCTTTGGTCAGGAAAAAATAAAGGTGATTTTGGAATAAATCTGGTATGCAAAACAAATGACTATCTGATAATTTCAAGGCTTATCTAAGAAATTCTGTTTTTTTTTTTAAATAAATAAAGTTTGGCAATGTATGACGAATTATACATTTTTGTAATCAGAATTAAAAATTCAATTCACCTGTGCAAAAATCCAATATGGCGTCCCTAACAAAAACATAAATTCACGCTGGAGGACAAGAGACGAAACGTTATATTGAAATTCTAATTATGCCATCTTGTAGATTAGGAAATGTGACAATTTTTATGTGCAATTTATTTTGAAATCCGACTACAAATAAAGTCAGGAAAGAATTAAAACAATTTTAAAAAAATTCGGCTGTTTTCGTCTCTTCCTGGAAGCACTATGAATTTAGAAACTTTCTAAGCGGTATTTTGTTATTTAGCTAAATACGAAACTTTGCCCCCATTTAAGCGACTTCGTATCTCTTACAGTTTCCGAGATCCCACTGGTGAGGGTCGAATTTAAATCACCCGGTATAACATCCCCAATATCTTATTTTCGAAATTTGTCGCGATTACAATACTGCCTCGCCAGCAACACAGGAAGTAAAACTGTAAAAGCAGCTCCTTGTGGAAAGTTTTGCCTTGAGCCTCGAAAGCTGTACAGTTGTTTTGCGCCCAGTATATCTTTTCTATACGGAGTGTTCCAGAACAAGAAGCATATATGAGCCCCTTCCCACTTCAGTTGGCCCACTTCAAGATTTATACCAAAATATGCCTTTATAAACTAAACATGACGAAACTGTTTACTTCTAAAACAATTTATTTTCTCAAAAACATTTTAGATACACTCTAGTCGTAAAAAATACATATTTGAAATCACTTAGACCTATAACTAATAGAACATCTGAACAAATAAACAATGTGCGAATAAATCCGCGAAGTTAACAAAGCAACAATTGAAAGATTACCATTGGGTAACGTTACCTTTATTTTTAATTACGGCTGAAATTCTTTGGGGCATAGTGTTAACCAAGTTTTGTGAAAAATTTGGTGTAACACAATCCCATATTTGTTGATGCTTTCCTCTACCCATTTTGAAAACCTTAACTACCCAAAAATATTTTAATAGTATTCTGACAGCTGTGATTAATAAAAACAATTGTCATGGCTTTTATTTTTCACAGCCACCTATGCGTTATAGACTTATTTTGCATTGAAATGAAAACAGGTTGATATGCTGTATTTGCAACATGTGTTATTTTTATGCTGCAAATTTGATTAGGGAGTGATAAGGTTGGTCGTTTCTACTATATATTATCAAAATATTCATTGTTAATATTTTAAATCTATAACACCCTGCTCCATTTTTATTATTTGTGTTTGATAAGAAAAAAACTAAGATTTCAATAGTTGGGCTAACTGAAGTGGGAAGGGGCTCGTAGAACGTAAATCAATCAAACCACATTTTTAAAATTCCTCTATATTCACTACATTTTGGTTCTAACGGGTATTGCACTGAAATTGTACTAGTACTAGTCAGCTTATATTCACGAGCGTGTTACTTACCCATACAATGGGGCAGGTAGATGCCACAAAAAGGAATATTTTCTAACGCCTGGTTTTCCGAATTTCTCGAAAACGATGCTCAATCTGTATCTCAGTAGGTCGTGTTTCAATGCGATGTCCAGCAGCGTCACGCTGAGTGGGGCTGAGGGGTTCTCTCCTGTCCTGTCGCTTAATAGGGGCACTCAATGTTACACACAGTCTGATAATGATCACTGGACACACACAGTAAATCGTAGGCGCACCAATTTATGGCGGACAATAGGCGCATTATGAACGACATCTGAAACAAAAATAAAAATCAAATTGGAATATAAAATAAATCGCAAACTTCCTTCTTTGTTCTACGATCTAGTCACCTACGAAACAAATGCACTAAGTAGTAAAGAGTTCATCTTGCAGGCTTAGAAACGATAATAATAATAATAACACTGATCAACAGCCAAAAAATATCCTAAATAAAATCAACAAAATATTACTATTTTTAATGTGCTAAAACCGGAATGAAACTTATTTTTTCAATATTAGTTCAAGTTTTAGAGATACGGTAATTATATGTGTTCCTGCTGTGACAGTGTTAATATACTGTAATTCACAAGAATGCACGTGCTACATTTTTATATTCGGCAAGGAAAGATGATGTAATCGGCATGATTGTGTTACGTTATACATACGTGTACATTATACTGTTTTATATTAGCCATTTTTTCCTCAGTTGGCTGACAGCGTTCATGCAAGATGTCTCGAAGGTGTGTAAACAATCCAGATCAGTTTTGTTACGTGTGTGGTGATGTGACTTTTGCGTCTCAGAGACGGTCTATTACTCCACTAATAACATATCATATCAGCTTTATTTCGGTTGTAAACTAGGTGATCAAGACAAACAGTGGGCACCCCACATCTGCTGTAATACATGTGCTTCAAGTCTGAGGAGCTGTTTAAATGGCAAAAAACGGTATATGCGCTTTGCTGTCCCAATGGTTTGGAGAGAGCCTACATATCATATTAATGATTGTTACTTTTGCATGGTACCTTGTGTTGGACAAGCCACATGTATGTCCAAGAAAAAAAAATCGGTTATTAACTACCCAAACATACCATCTGCGATGAGACCTGTGCCTCACAGTGACGAAAATCCTATTCCAAAACCCCCAGAATCCTACACTTGCGAATCAGAAAACAAATCAGATCATAGCGATCGAGTGATTCGTCAGGAAGAAGATATGCCATCAACGTCAAGAGATCCTGATTTTATACCGAGCGCGTCATGCCACCAACCGCACAAAATAACACAGTCAGAATTAAATGATCTTGTAAGAGATTTAGAACTTCCAAAATGTAAGGCAGAGTTACTTGGATCAAGACTGCAGCAGTGGAACTTGTTAGAAGACGGTGTTTCGGTATGTGTTTTTCGTAAACGCCACAAAGACTTAGAACCATTTTTCAATATGGAGAATAACTTGGTTTTCTGCAGTAACATTAACGGCTTACTGGCGGCTTTAAATATAAACTATAACCCAGAAGAATGGAGATTGTTTATAGACAGTTCAACATTGAGTTTAAAGGCAGTGTTATTGCATATTGGAAATATTTTACCATCTCTTTCTGTAGGGTATGCAGTTCACATGAAAGAATCATATGACAATATGAAGTACCTATTGACATGCATAAAATACGATGAGCACCAATTTGTGGCGATTTGAAAGTTGTTGCACTTTTACTTGGGCTGCAGCTAGGCTACACAAAGTTTTGCTGTTTTTTGTGGCCTGTTTGTCAATTCCTAGAGCCAGGTCAAAAAAATGTACAGCATATGCCATTAGTAGATTCGAAAAAAAATTTATTACCAGCACTGCATATCAAGTTGGGCCTAATGAAAAACTTTGTCAAGGCATTAGATAGAGATGGGTCAGCTTTTCAATACCTCCGTCAGAAATTTCCAAGACTAAGAGAGGCAAAGGTTAAAGAAGGTATTTTTGTTGGGCCACAGATACGAAATATTTTGAAAGATACACAGTTTGAAAACACTTTAACAGGTATTGAAAAAACTGCTTGGAATGATTTCTGTCTGGTGGTCACTAATTTCTTGGGAAATAGAAAAGCTGACAACTATAAAACCCTTGTCAAAAATATGCTGTCATCGTATCAAAAGATGGGCTGTAATATGTCTCTTAAGATACATTTCCTACACTCACACCTGGACTTTTTTCCTGACAATTGCGGAGCCGTAAGTGATGAGCACGGTGAACGTTTTCATCAGGATATTTCAACAATGGAAAAAAGGTACCAGGGAAAGTGGAATCCTTCCATGCTTGCAGACTACTGTTGGACTCTTAGTAGAGATGCTCCAGAAACGATCCATAAAAGAACAGCAAAAAGACAGCGCATATAGTGATTCTTATAAGTATATGAATCTTGTTACTTTTTTTAATATATCCTTAAAAATAAAAGGTTTGTTTCTAAACCGCAACTAATTTTTTTATTTCATTGTCATTTTTGGATTCAGCGCCCCAAAATTAACAAAGAAGTGCACTTTTCCCACAAGATACAATTAAAAAACTAAAATTTGTTGTCCAGTGTAATCTTTATTACCCATTAGACATGTATAAAACATGTATAGGGTTCGTCAACAAACAATTTACAGTATGTATAAACATAAAAAACAAACGGTAAAATGATAAGCAACAACAAACAATAGCTTAAATTAGATATTTTAAAATGGACTCCACAGGCAAACAACAGCAGAGAAAATAGATTAGCTTTCCAGCAGTTAAAATTAATAAAGTAACAGAAATACAATATAAAAATATATAAAAGGACAAGCAAGTGGATAACAGACAATACAAAAAAAGAACATCTAAATATCCACAGTCACTGATGGCGCAACAAGTAGTATTAATAAAGTAGGTTCTTAACTCAGCTTTAAAATTATTTAAGGAGCTAACTGTCTTAATATACTCAGGCAGCTTATTGAATATCTTTGGTCTTAAAATAGAGGGAGATCCCAGCTTACATCGAGCAAAGGGTAGATGAATGTCGTGCTGCCTACGAGTATTGAATGTATGTATATTACTATTCAAAGTGAAATTATCTGTGTTAGTAAAGGTATATATTGCCATTTTATAAAGAAACAACCAGGGCAGTGTTAGAATTTCTAGTTCTCTGCAACTGTATATACTGTTAACACGTGCTATGCACCTTATTATTCTCTTTTGACTTCGAAATCCCTTTGAAGCATTCACCCAGGAACGCCAGAAACACAATGCATACCGCATTCGCGACATGACTCTGATATAACATCAATAACTGGTCGCGTGTAAAAACTGTTCTTAGATTTTAAAATAGGTAGGTCCGCGAGCTAAGCTTCGCAGTCAGGTAGTTACAATGTCCTTTAAAATTGAGACACTCATCCAGGTGCAGTATTGATTTTTGGGAATGGTGGAATCTTATTGCTGTTGATTTTTCACAGTTTAGATGCAGCTGGTTCTCCACGAACCAGCTATGGATGCTATGTAACAAGCTGTTACAGTCGTTAATTAGGATAACGTCATCTTTATTTGATAGAATAATCGATGTGTCGTCCGCGTATAAGGTAAAGTGTGCTCTGGAGAAGGATTGCTCAAGGTTATTTACATATAATGCAAACAGAACAGGCCCCAACACAGATCCTTGCGGAACGCCAACATCCATATTTCTCCAACTAGACTTGACTTGTACAGGGTGGCCCATCCATGTGTGAACGGATCATTACTCATAAACAAATACATTCTGGGAAAATCTATTTATGGGATGTTTTACATGACATTTGAGGGCACATTTCTAAAATATTGGCCATTATACAGGGTGTCCAAATATCGACCTACATATCAAAGTTGTGATTTTTCAAATAGAATGCCTCACATTTTATTGCATATGTTGATAAACCAATTCAAAAATTAGGACACCTTGTATAACTGCTAATATTTTGGAAATGTGCCCTCAAATGTCATGTATAACATGCCATAAATAGATTTTCCCAAAATGTATTTGTTTATGTGTAATAGTCCGCCCACACATGGATGGGCCACCCTGTATAAGTTGTCCTGAGCAGTTATGAGTTATTGTCACATACTGCGATCTGTTTCCTAAGAAGGATTTTATCCAGAGGTAGGCTGGTCCACCGATTCCATAAGTTGCCAGTTTTATTAATAACAGATCATGGTTGACACAGTCGAATGTCCTGCTTAGATCACAGAAGATACCAACAGGGCACTCTCCTGCCTCAATGTACTGAAGAAAGAATGAGACGCTGTTAGTGTTGAGCTACCGTTACGGAAACCATGTTGGTTGGTTGTTAGTACCTCATTTCTTTCAAGGAACAGCGTCAACCGACTCAAGAAACAGTATTCGAAAATTTTGGAATAACAACTGGGAGACGTCACCGGTCTGTAATTTTTTGCGTTAATAGTTTCTCCCTTCTTGTGTATGGGAGTTACTTTTCCCTTTTTTAAGCTATCTGGAGAGCCAATACAGAAAGACAGACTGATCAGAAAAACAAAGAGCTTAACAATACGAGCCCCTTCCCAGTTCAGTTGGCCCACTTCAAGATTTGTATCAAAATATGCCTTTATAAACTAAACATCACGGAACTATTTACTTTTAAAACAATTTATTTTCTCAAAAACATTTTAGATACACTCTAGTCGTAAAAAATACATATTTGAAATCACTTAGATCTATAAATAATAGAACATCTGAACAAATAAACAACGTGCGAATAAATGCGCGAAGTTAACAAAGCAACAGCTGAAAGATTACCATTGGATAACATCATCTTTATTTTTTATTACGGCTGAAATTCTTTGGGGCATAGTGTTAACCAACTTTTGGCAAAAATTTGGTGTAAAACAATCTCATATTTCTTGAAGCTTTTGTCTCAGTTCGAGGATTGAACGAGCAGGATGTTGTCGTAGAACCTTTTTCATCTCGTGCCACAAAGTTTCAATGGGTGACAGATCTGGACTGCTAGAAACCCATTTCAAAAGTGGTACATTATTTTATTCCATCCATTTTATAGCCTTTTTTGAGGTATGGCACGCTGCACCATCTTGCTGAAACATAAAATCTTGGCCGGATGTCAAACATTCTTCCATCACTGGTAAAAGCGATTCTTCTAAAATTGCCAAATATTTGTTTGTGGACCTCAAAATTCTCCTTCCAACAGCGTCACTCCACAGAGCACTTAATGGTAAATAATTGGCACGCCTGTTTTTCACGATTATTCTTCTTAATGTTCTTTGGTCGGCA